ATTTTAACAAAGTCAAAATGTCACGAGCTACTGTTAAACAGTCAAATACACGAGGGGGCAACTAATTCATTTATAGTGCGAGTTAATTCATTAAAAAAAAAACATGATTAAGCTTTATTTCCCCCCTTCATTCGACCTGTAGCTTGTCTGTAAGACTAACTCTGTGAGAAAAGACCTTTTTTTGGTTCCCACAAATGAGTGAATTCTGATTTGAAAGAGCAACTTCTTCACACAGCCTCCATTGAAAAGCCGAAGTCACGACGCAGGCTGTCAGACAGTGAGCTCTAACAGGTGCTGTCTGTACACTCAGGAAATGGAGAGCAAAAATCCCCACTGAGCAGCGACACTTTCCACTCTCTCAGCCAAAACGTGCTCCTTCATTTATCTGACATTGAGCCGTCGTCTCCGGACAGGAGCTGGCTCGGTTAGCTGAGTAAAAACTGAGAAGAAAAAAAACCAGATAACGAGTACTTACACCAACTGCACCCGGTTCGTCCCAGAAACTCCCTCTTCTCTGAATTCCACACAAATGTCCTCCATCCGCCGTCACTGTCTTTATTTCTCGACATGTTTACTCCCGGTAGTATCCCTGGGGTTTTCTCGGTGTGATTTTACGGTTTGGTTGGGCTGCTTTCAGCTCAGACTGTCGACTGTCCCTCACAGGAAAAGCGAAAGGACAGTTTCGTACCCGACTCCACCAATTGTACCACACACAATTTATCTCTCGGGGAAACCGGCTCCGCCCGCCGACTCTCGCAATAAGTTACCCCCCGAAGAGGGAGGGCTGAGGCTAGCAAATCACAACCTTCCGCCGCTTTCTGCGTAAGAGGGGAACGAAGGGGGGCTAGTTAGCACACCGATGGGCGCACACAGACTGTGGGCCCGACAGAAAATGTCCAACAGTTGCCTCGACCGTTTTAAATGATGCCGGTGCCATGGCAACCGGTGTGTTCTCCACTCTTTAATGTGGCGACAAATACAAACACAACAGCTATAGATTCAGTAATATTAGCTTATGCCAACATCTGGTTATTACATACTTTCAGACCCAGCAGTATGGCGCCCAAAAGTTTTTATTTTTTTATTTTTTATTTTATTAGTAACAAATACGGTACAAACTCAACTTTGTCCAACTTTTTCCCAACATACACCTTCTACTGTAATATTAATTTTATTCAACACAATGACATAAGATAATACAATATTAATAAATGCAAACCAAAAAATTAACAAGAGGCTAGAATAAATTATATTCAGACTTAAGTGCACAAAGTTTTCTGGTAGGGGCCTTCCTTTATTACTTAATATCGTGAATTCATGTTTAAGATTGGCGGTATGTTGTGATTTTCCTCTTTAGGAAATTTATCAAAGTGTAAGGAACACACCACCATATGCATAAAATCTAACTTTAATAAAAGCTTCCTTTGTTTTTGCAACCAGAACAGTGGGATCTGTATGTATCACAGTCACTGTCATATCCAACATCATCGGTTTATATGTAGTGCCACTATCTAGTGGTTGGGGGTTTAAACACATACATCTATAGTGTTTTTGAAAACTGATACAATATCACAAAACAAAATATTACGATAATATATTTTTCTATATTTAAACTCATTAAACTTTTTTGAAACGCTGCTACAAATGTGTTTATAATTGTTAGCTAGGGTGAATATAAGTTAGAATTGTGTCTCCGCTAGAAAAGTGGCAATTAGCACATCTGTTTTTAAAATCTTCATAAAGTAGCCAAATTATAGCTGGAAAAGTACTGAAAATGTATTTAATATATAAGACTGGAACATAATGATTGTATACTGATCACACTGAGGATGAGGAACAGCATTCACAAGTTGAAAACTAGCAAACAGGGAACTGAAAGCCCCCATTTTTTTAAAGCTAGCTTCTGTTCCACGAGCCTCAGCAAGACGATATACTTTGCTCTAGCTTGTCTTTCTAAACAGCTTAGATACAACATTTGATCATGTTGTTAGCACTCAGTATCTACAAGTTTTGTTATTGCACCTGTATGTAATGCTGTGGTTGCTAAATGCTAACAAAATAACCATAATATTTCAGATCAAATTAGGCGGCATTGAAAGGTTACGTAGGTAGGTTTAGTTTAGGATATGTATGTGCACATGTACAGTGCAAACACACATAGAAAAGTCTAGAGACAAACTGTTGATACAGAGAACTGAAAGCTGGGAACAGAAGCTCAACAGGAAGGAAGGTACGAATTCAAAGAGGTTGACAAATACACTGGAGCTTTAATCAGACAGCCTTTTACAGGTAGTCTAGAAAAGTGTTTTTGTTTTGTTTTAAACAATCAGGAAAGTCATTCGTTGTAAACAGTAATCCATATTTTGTTGAAATGCACTCTGGTAGTCAGTGTCACTTGGTCATGAGTCACAAAATGATGACACTGTGTGCTGAGAAGTCAGAGGATGATGGCATGATTGCACATAGAAGACCCACAGAGGACTGAACTGCATAATACCCATTTCCATTGATTTGTATTATCATGAACAAACTCATTAGTCAATGGTAATGCCACAGACAGTACACAGTAAGTCTATCCTGTAACTTTATCCATGCTAGAAGAATGAAGGGAGAGCTCCACATGTAGTGCGTGCCGGGAACAAAATATGCTACCATGCTAACAATAGTTCTCATTAAACTGTAATAGGATCAGTTGAATCAGTGCCCATTAAAGGTCCAGTGTGTAGGATTTAGTGGCTTCAGATTGCACCTCGCTCGCTTCACCTTCCCCTTCCAAGTGCAAAGGAGAAACTACGGTGGCCGTGAAACTCACAAGAAACGTCAACGGCCCTATCTAATGCCAGTGTTTTGTTTGTCCGTTCTGGGCTATTGTAGAAACATGGAGGTTCAACATGGCGGCCTCCATGGAAGGTGACCTGCAGCACAGATAGAAACGGCTCCTTCTCAGGTAACAAAAACACAATGATTCTTATTTTCAGGTGATACATTACACTAATGGAAATATAGTTATAGTTTTCCATTTCTGACAATAGATCCTCCTAAATGTTACACACTGGACCTTTTAGTGTCTGTCAGCTCATAGTATAAAGTCATAAACTCACCATTATAGGTTATAAAGTTGAAAAACACATCATATAAACTGAGCTACTGATTGCAGATGAATTTGTTTCACTGAATTGCACTATGTTGTTTCTCATTCTGAGCATTACTCTCTCAGTCTGCTTTCTCTCCTCCCTGTGAGGCTACAGATACTAATCTGTAAAGTTTCACATAAATGTATTTAGGTTTTCTTACTCTGTAGTGCCAGTTGTTAAAACACGGTGGTGACTGAACATATATCTTATACAAGGTTTAATATCTGCTACTATACATACATTTTACATACCTCCAAATCTTCTGGATCACAGGAAGTGTTTTATATTTCTGTTTGCTACAGAAACAACACAGTATGGCTTCTGTGAGACAAAAATAACACTCCCATAAATACAAATTCCAGAGGCAGAAAGACATCTTTAAGGTGTGACAGTACTGACGACACTGTTAAATTACCAAGTTGAGTGCAAAAAAACGCACCAATTAATGTCATAGCCCTTTTTAATTACAAAAGACACAAGGTTTTAGTAATCAATGTTGGATGTATGAGAAGTGCCAGTTCAAATAAAATGATGTAAACCAGATGTTGTACATAATAAAAACAGATCTGGTCTTTATTTTTCTAAATGGGTTGAGTTTTAAACTGAAGTAAACTACAACTTTCTTCCTGAGTAATCATCAGTAATTCTGTTCAGCCCGGAGTAAAATAGCCAGTTCTATGTGCTGGCCTGTTTTCACACCATTATAAGTAAACAATGTAATACACTCCTTTGTAAGACTATTGATTCTGCAGTGATAACATAGCAGCCCACTGTTTACATAGATCAAGGGTTTGCCAAGATTACCAGGAGGTGCAGCATTCTGAGATAGGTTGTGGATGGAATCTGGTATGCAGCGTGTGAGCTGGACTTGGGCTCATCAACAATAGTGTGTCTATGCAGCGGACTGGAGGAACGATGGCCTCCTGGATTGGCTTTTTGACAGCGCACTGAATGCACACTGAGGCAGAGCGAAACACCTCAGCTCAAAACAATCTTTCATGGTCAGATGAGAAAGAAAAGGAGAAATACTGAACTCTTCTCATGCAAGTTACAGTAACCGTGGTGATTGTTTTCCTGCTATAATGCGCTCTGGTAGGATTAACTTCTGGTTGCAGAAATAAACCACGTCAGGCCAGATTTGCACAAAAATTGCTCCTCAGTTTGCATTCTAAATAAATTGCCATGGTTTCTAACGTACACATGATTTGTTCACTGTATTGTATTCACTGTGTTATAAACTAGGAAGGGACAAGAAACACTGACAGAGAAAGAAGAATTACTTACTAACACAACACACTGACATATTATCACCTTATAAAGTTGATATGACAACATTGTTAGCAAACAGTCCAACGTTTTCTTTTTAGCTTTGTTTTGACGCCACTAACTCCCGAGGGAGATATCTGGCTTTTTATATATGTTCGCCAGCTAGTTGCTAACTCTGTCAGTTTGCTCTTTGGTTGCTGGACAGGTAGCATACAGCGGTCGTATCCAAGGTTTCTGCTAGACACAGCATCTCCTGCGTCCAGCAGCACTAACTAGAGCGCTGAGAGTGAGTCAAAACAGTAAAGTTAAAGCCTCAAAAAGAGAATAGAGAATAATAAAAATATTATTATGATCTGTGGGTTTGTCACTTTAACGGACACCTTTCACATTATACATAGTTATTGGATCAATTGTTAATATAAAAATATTGACCATAGCAGCTTTAATGCTTCTTTGCCCCTGCACTAAAATAAGGCCACAGCCTGCATATTTCCCTGTGGAACTACAAACATAGTGTGTGCTTTGACTTAAAGCAATGAATAGTCTTTGGCAAACTTAAAGGGATGTATTCAATATAAAACACAAGCATCTCTATTTTTTTAAAACAATATATTTATTGGATTTTCTTATTTTTCCACCATAATAACACAAACATAAGAAACAATTACATAAACAAACACAAATATGTTGCAGGTAAATCACAGATTACAAGAGTTGAGGTTCAGTAAACACCCTCTAAAATAATGGAAGAAACATCAGGTCTAAGATAAAAGATTAAAATAACACTGCTGTACTTTGGTGTGCAGAATACTTGTAGGGTATTCCAAAGGAACCAGCTCAAATATAACTTACTACACCAGCCATTAACAGAAGGGCTCTTATCATTTGTCCACTGTAATAATGTATTTCTTCTAGTAGCAAAAGTAAGAATGACCTTTGCCAGCTATAGTAGTCATATTCAAAGATCAAAGATATTTGATCCATTTCTAAATCTTCCATTACTTACAAGTAGATTTACGTCATCCTCTCCTCCTCTGCTCTCGTCTACAATTTCTTGACTTTGCTACATTACTTTGAAGAAAAGAGACAGACAGGAATTCAGTTCCCCAGAATGTAAGGTGTGAAAGTCAGGTTGAGCTATGGTTTTTAGGATGGAACAGCAGTGAATCTGAGCTGTGGCAACGCAGTTAACAACACTGTCTGCACTTTGAAAGACACCTGACTGAAAATGATAGCTTTCTGTTAAAGCATTAAGGCAGGTGCACAAGATGATGACCATAAATCGTTTGAGAATGTTGTCAGTGCAGTGCGCGGGAGTGTTTCACTGGCTGTACTTCACATTTCTACTTTGGTGTTGACAGACTGTGCACAATTGCAACTGTCTTTCAAGATAAGAGAAGACTTATCAGTTCATGCTAAGCCATAAAGATAAGACAACTTCTTAATATGACCAATACTGATTTCAATGTCACAATAATCCTTATTTCCTCAAATATTTTCCACAATCTTCTCTCAGATATGAGGTGAGTGAATTACTTTTTACAAAAGACATTTAATGGTTACATTAATAGACTTGTGAAGGGAGAGAAATTCCAAGTATGATTTGAATGTCCTCTTGCCAGTGTGTTTTGTACTCATTAACCAGGGTTGACTGTTCCTGTGCTGTATTCACATACAAACATGTCTTTCTTACTCTTCAAATGACACACCTTGTGGTCTTGGTAACGCCCGGAAAAGTTGACGTGAACTTCTCATTTTTAAGGAGTATTTAAGGAGGGGCCTGCACATCCTTTCCTCCCTAACTTCCTGAACAACATGTGGATCCTCTGAGGCCATATAGTTTGACCTTTACATTAGTGGGGCAGCCCTCTCCCTGTGTGCAGCCCTCCCCTTTATGCTGTGTCACAGGTGAATAAGCATGCCTTACCATGCGATCACACTGTGCACAAAATGATCAACAGGACACTGGAGATTCCAGTAATATCCCACAGAACTGCTCCCAGCTGAACACTGTATGGTAATTGACTGTCCATATCAGATATTTATTGTAGAGGTCAAAACATACTACTACATAATGTCAGAGACTTCTTAACAAAGTTGCTGCTAATGTAAACTGTGACAGAAAGAAAGTGTAAAAGATGCCAATGTTTAACACACTCCAACATTAACTGCAGCCAGATTTAAATCAAATAAAAGCACAAATGTGTGTGAGGATGTTCAGTTTCATTATTTTTGACTGCTTATAGCTCTTTGACTCAGTTTCCAGCACACTAGGTGTCAGTTGCACAAGCTGTTCGTAAATTAAATTTTAGCCTAGCCTAGTTAAAGTAAGTGCTTACTAAGTGGGGATTAATGCATCACTAAATTAAAACACAGCCAGCTATTCTTACTTAGAGATTATTTGTTACTAAATATTTACACACAGCAACTGTCAGGTGTAACTGTGTTTGAACTGACAAGTGACATTAGCTTGGCTATATGTCCCATTAAGACTGAAGAATAAAATGTGTAATAATAACATGAACTGGGAAGATTTTAACTTAACTAGCATCAGTTAGGTTAGCATAATCTGAAATCACTGTGAAACACACATCTCTCCATGTACGCAGATATAAGTGAACTCATTTTGACAGTTATGTTACAGCTTGTGATGCTAAAGTAAGTTCCTGTTAACAGTTTATTGCTTTTAGTTGTATGGCATTACCAATGTTTCATAGCACCTGATTACTAAATCCTTTACTAGCTAAGACATGTTGTAAGTTTTAATGGTGCAACCATTTAGTAAATCCATACTTTGAAACTAGCTAGCAGTTACTAAGAACTTTACACACATTATGGATTGGCATTTGAATTTTACAGCATAGTTCAAATTGTATGACTCAAATGTATGACTTATTTATACAAAGTATTTACAACATAATGGACAAAAGAATAAATTGCCATTTGTCAGCAGTGTTTAGTGCATTTGCACTCTCACTATTCAATTACAGACAGACTGAGGCAGAGGGGATGTTTGCTATAGAGCGTGCCAGTGGAGAGTATGCCCTGCAGGGTAATGGGGGGAGCAGTTGTCTGAGTTACATGGCAAAATCAATAAACTGGACGTCATATATTATTTTCCGTACAGTGACCACAGCAAAAGTTCATCCTCTTAAAACATTCAAAAAACGATTTTTAGAGGTCTCTGCTTAATCATAGGTATTACCAATAGGGTTAAATTCTGCATCACAGCTTCACTATACTTATTCACTGCAGTGTTTATTATGGATTGAGTGTATCATTATTATTATTATTATTATTATAGATTATTGCAATTGTAAAAGATGACAACAACCTTACTTGTGTGCTTTCTGTCTGGTTGATACATTAAAATGTGCATTTCTAACTGAATACTTTTAATGGAAAACATAGCTATAGTTCATAATTGATATGGTCAGAACTTTTAGATGCCAAAAGTATTTCAGTCCAAGTCCAGTTTGATCTTTACTGTATTTCACTGAGCTCTTTTGCAGAGTGTTAATTATGGGATTGATAGCAAGTATGTTTATGAAACCGGTTCAGAAGGATACTAACAATGTAGTGCTATTTGGATACTATAATTATCTTGAAATATACACGTACCCCTTTTGGGAAACAAAACTTGAAAATTTAAACTTACTAACCAAGACTTTATGCTAAGCTTGCTAACTGTCTGCTGTCTTCAGCTTCGTAGTCAGCTTACTAGCATGGGAGCAGTTTCAAACGATTTGGAAGAAAGTGAATAAATGTATTTCCAATGAGCTATTTATTTTCAGTTTTGTTTGCGTTTACTTGTTAAATGCTCATATTTAAACACACTTTAAAATCAACAGTTGCCAAGTTGATGCTATTTTAAAGGACTTTTGATTCAGAACTAAATCTAAAACCATTTCACATGCTGTATGTTGCTGTAGTAGCTGTGTTGACATGCAGCTCCATAACCCAGTGTCTGTAAGCATTCACTGACCCAGTTCTTCAAACAGTGAAGAAATTAATATGCGGTGTGGGCGTGCAGTTTGGAAATGGAAAAAAAGTGTATGAATCAACCCAAGTATGTTTTGTAATGGAACTGGAATCAGCAGGATTCGATAATGGATACATTTCACACAAGCTTAACTGAAATTGTGGATAATTTGGAGCAAAGACACTCAGTTTGTAACGATGAAGAAATATGGTGCATTAGTTTTCATTACCTACTACTGACGTGCTAGGGCTGAAATGTGGTATCACCGAATAAATAACATGCATGAAAACTGACCTTGGACAGGGTTCACCTTTGAAGCTAATCGCACAGTTTTGATTTGAATTTCAAATATGCTCCTAAACTACTGAGCCATAGGAAGAAATACAGTGAAATAGCTTCTAACCCATAATTTCTGTCAGAGTCATTTGAATAACATTGGAGACAACAATAAAACAATACAGCATCAGCACAATCAGTGTCACTTACCACATTTTCTACTCCACTGAGTGATTTACCATCACTACCAGCCAACTTCTCTCTGCTGCAGATTAGATTAAAGATGCCAGGTCTGTTTGTGGAGATATTCCATTAAATGACATTGAGATAGCAGTTAATTGTACTACATAAGAAACAGAATACTCAACAAACATTTATTAAAAATCACTTATTTCAGAGAACAAGCCCTCTTGCAGCACAGTGACAATAACATTAAAGTCACCTCACTGCGTCCCAGGAAAATGCCAGTTCACGGGTCCGAGCTGCATTATGAGCACACCACAACAGAGCCCTGGAGGACCGAGGTTACGGGACTTCCTGTTGAGTTCTGACAGTGTGGTCATTTGCCGTCACCATATCTGGACCTGTGAAAGACCGCTAACGTTAGTTAGACCCCTCCTTTGTATAATGTGTGACACATGACACAAGTGTGAATGACTACATGAAAAATAACATCTAGTGTGAGTCACTGATAATGTTTGTAAGCTAGTTTAACTAACTTCCACTTTTTGAGCGGAAGCTAGTTAGCCTAGTCTGCTAACTTCCTGTGAAATGCAAACTTAAAGGTCCAGTGTGTAACATTTAGGAGGATCTATTAGCAGAAATGGAATATAACATTCATTAGGTATGTTATCACCTGTTTTTAGCCGTTCTTAATCTACAGACACAGCGTGCTGCCTTCCATGGAGTCCACTATGTTGAACCACCATCTTTCTAGGAACCACACCCTAAAGCAAACACTGGCTCTAGATATGGCCTTTTGCAAGTTTCATGAGTTTCCCAACCACCGTAGTTCCTCCCACATACTTGAAAGGCTAAGCTGTATTCAAATGGTTGCAGTCTGTTTCCGCTAGATGCCACTAAATCCTACACACTGGTCCTTTCACAGCACAGTGAGGTATCTTAGTGTCGAATGCAGTAAAGGACAGACATCTTAAATCACTGATGGTACATAAGCAACACCGAAGGCCTGTCGAAAAGGGGGGAACAACACATTGTATCATATTTTAGTCTCTACAGTATGTAGAGATGTTCTCCTTGTGTCAGTAGCATAACATAAAGGTTGGCAGCTTGTTTCCCTGCAATGCCAAGTCTCAGCTGTCAACTTCTGCCAACTTACACAAATATGTCTATATTTGATCCTCTTTTGATATAGCTATATAGCTGCAGTATTATAGTTTATGTTTCCTTTCACAAAAAGTGAGTGATTCTAGTTCAACTTACACAATAATTACTGAGATGACTGCAGTGGTGCTGGGACTCTGGAAATGAGTTTGCTCCTGGTCTGGTAGTCCAACTTTCCAGGATCTGTCAGAGGAGATGAGACAGAGTTATTGAACTGTTCTGGTTTTCCAAGCATAACTAATACAGTCACTTAATTTGTGAGTGCCAATGTCAAAATATGAAACAGATATGTGCATTTTATTTATACATTGCAACAAATTGATAACTTTGCTCTAGTCAACAGTAAAACATCTTGACGCTTGAATATCATCTCCCAGATAACCTTGAAGTCCGAGGGGGAAGTTGTGGCAGTGATATAGCCAAATAAATGAGAACATGGTATCATGCGCCTGAAATACTTTGGGCATGATTATTTTCAAGGCAATCATTCCTGCTCTGCCATTATCACTACTGTCAGTGAGGCTTATCTCTGCCTGCCTGCCTCGCCAGCCACGGCTCAGACACATCCTCCAAGCAACCACGACGCATTGTTCTAATGAGGTTACAGCCTGAAGCAAAGTGATTTGTTTTGTAGACGTTATTATGGTGGCCTTTTGGCCAGCCCCTTAATTTCATCAGTGAAGCACTATTAAACAGCAAAGGTCTTATGGGAAAATGGACCATGCTGAGGGACCTTTTGACATCCTCACAGTGGCAGTTGCGTAACCTTGCATACCAAAGATAGTTGTGTTTTTAGAAGTGCAGTATCACGCTATTCATTCATAATTAGAGCCTAAAAAGTCTAGATTGAATTGGTTTTGATGGTTTGTTTTGATACAAAGCCGCTGATTCATTCTTATCTTCAAAGATAATTATGTGATATGATTCTTCACACGTAGGAGGAGGGTACAAGTTGTATAAAGAACTTACAAAGCAAAAACAGCACTGACAGAACGAAACCAAACTAGAGCCTTTTTCTTCTCATGATAAACATACGTTTTCACATTTTGAGTGATAACATCTTTGTACTGAAATATAGGAAACATTTTTTTTTTTAAATGACTACTTTTACTAAAACTGCTACCTGTGGCCCCTTGCTGCATATCACCCCCTCTATCTCCTCCTCTCCTGTCTATCTTCATCTGTCCTATCCAATAAAGCAAATAAGCCCCCCCCCAAAAAAATATAGAAAAAAGTATGTTTTTGCGAGGTCACACATAAGAATGTCTGTTGCTAGTAGTCTAATAATTTATTATAATATTTTTTGATGAAGGATTAGTAAAGGTTGATGTCTTGTAGTTTATATTAAATTGTCATGGATACAAAGCCAGTTAATTACCACATGATCATGTTGTTTGGAGCTACCTGGATGATATTTGCATGACATTTTCATACTCATCTAGCAGATCATCAGGTTATACACATTGCTTATTAATGCACTTAACTGACATTCAATATGTTGGACTTTCTGGACTTTGGAGAAAGACAGAAAGAATAGTCAAAAGAGACTTTTAGTCCCTGATGTGGTTGAAGCTCCATAAATACTTGATCCTACATTTCCCATAATGCAATTATCGCCTTTTTATGCCTTAATCGGAAATCAACAGTAGAGAGATGGCAGGAAATGAGGAAAGAGAGAGCTGATCCCTAGCCGGACTTAAACCAGGGGCGTTGTGGTTCATGATTGGCACTTTAAACCCCGCCTGATAGTATATTTTATGAGAGCTTTCCGGCCTGCTAAACTTCCACGTCTTTCAGAATCCACACCCCTAGTTTCTAACACAGGCTTTCTGTTATAAATGTGTAGTCTCTAAACCCAAGCTGAGATAACCCAGTTGCAACAAGTCCTTCAAATTAAACAACAAAATGTGTTTTGTGACCTTATTCCCCTATCGGAAGGATGACAACATTTGTCTGTGCCTTCCAAATGTATAACAAATTCCTTATATATATATTATATATATATTATATATATTGGTTAGGACAGCTGAAGAGTGACAGAAAAGGGGGGCAGGGACAGGGGATGACATAAAGGCAAAGGACCAGAGGTCGGATTCGAACCCATGGCCCCTGCAGCAAGGACTCAGCCTTTGGACATGGGGCGCCAGCCCTACCAGGTGAGCAATAGGGTACTCCGTATCAAATTTTGGTACTTTTACAAAATAGAATCAGTTTCTACTCTGAATCTGCTATAGTTAAGTAACTTGGTTAACCTTTGGCATCATAGTTAAAAGAAAAATGACTTGGTTAAGGTTAGGGAAGGATTTTTGTCATGGTTAAAAGAAACCATCATTGAGTGTCAGTGGGAAACAGGGAAAAAACAGCAGTGTCACATGTTGAAATTTGACGCCTCGATGACCCATTTATCCACCCTGACCACCTTCCTCTTTGTAACTCTATAATAACGTCATCTGACTTCCTCATTTGCTCAAGACACGCTTCATAATACCAACAGCCGGCTTGTCGGAGCTTGCAAGAGATCCAGCTCAACAATCGCAACCTGTCAATCGCAAGGTAGCCACAACCTTAAGCATACCCTGCTTCATCGTCTATTTTACTCTAAATTGGACCGTAATTTACTAAATGATCTTTGTGTTGTGTGGAAGAAGATTTTAAACTATCGATTGAGGTCATAAACTCATTAGGAAACTGTTCACTGAGCTAATAAATCAAGAAATTGAGTCATTTTTCCATAAGAGTGCATGGTATCAGTGTGATATTGCAGTTTATTCTACTTCGTTTAAGAATGCTTGATTCTGATTGGCTGGGAGGAGGGCATTAACCCGGCAGGTTGCCCGCTGACTTGTCGGTTGTACTTACTGCTGACTGAGCACAGCGTCATCAAATAGTAGATCAATACGCCGCTTGTATTTTTCAAACATGAGGTCCATTGTAAAAATAAACCTTGTTTAAAAAAGTTTCTAAAATGTGTCGGAAATCTATCGGAGGGTCAGTCGATACATAGTTTTGCAAGCAAGATACAATGTAGCAACTACGTTATTAAACTAGTGATCAGATGCAGCCTTGTGTGGTTGCTATAGAAACTAATTAGCAACAGCTGAGCTAACATTATTCACCGTAGTTCTAAAGGGGACTACTTTTTGAGGGAGATGAACTCAAACAGACTATACATTTAATAACCATGCAATACGAATCAAACTGTTGATTGCCCTGCCTTGAGGTGATTATCCCTTACCTATGACGCTGCCCCCTGCTGGCCATTATGCAGGTAAAAGACACTTCCGTGTCGGCTTCCCTTCACAGACCTGGCAGCTCTGTCCATTATATATACTGTCAATGGTGTCTGTCTACTGTTTTGTGACATCACATACACTGAACCAAAGCTAACACTTTAGTTTTAAAGGCCACTGCATCTGAGACAGGCAGACAGTGGGGGGACTGGTATTAGCAGATGGACCACATATTCTATTCTATTTTACTTTGTAGGTGATATTCAATACAGAGTAATTCCCACCATGTGTAGATATAATACAGCATCATGTGTAATCATATTCAAACCTGCATATGTCAGACATGCATATTGCATGTGGGATAATTTGTCTAGCATATGCTAAGTTTGCAGGCGTTGATGATCTAATTTGACCAGAGAAGTTATTCATAGCTCTGCCTTCTCATGACCCTCGATCCTGTTCAGATTCTCACATATTACAACATTTATTTGTCACAGGGAAACTTTTCACTCTATTTTAAACAATCCTTCTACGTGGTGATAATTAACAGGAGATGACAGTTTCAGGCTGATAAATAAAGTACACAGATCTGAGAATAAGTGCCAGGGAGAGTTTGTTTCTCAGATATAAAACTGCAGTATCATTTTCTAACATATTTCTGTTATTTGGTCGAACACACTGTACACAGTCGGGAGAATCACAGGTCGTGCTGCTCTTGTGCAGATTGCTTCAAGATGTCATCTTTGTAGAAACATTTCTGAATGGGACACTATCTGCTTGGCAGCTGCTAATGCCCCCTGATTTGAATACAAGACTCATTCTGGCCACTGGGACAATGAAAGTCTGTCCTGGTGCTGAGAGACCAGAGCTTCCCTGACGAGCTCTGTATGGAGATTATCTGTGCGTATGTGTAAATCAGAATAAACCCAATTCTGATTCTGATTCTGATTGTGAAACTGCTGTATAATAATTTGGATGTTTGGATTCAGCTTTTATATTTCCCATTATAATAAACACAGTAGTACACTTTACCATCAGACATCCCATAAAAGGTGGGGTGATGGGATGTAAGTGTGGTTATTGAAACACTGGTTTAATCTTTACAACAACCAATGAATTTACCAGGAGACCTCTGTCCTCAAACAAGGCATTAAGCTGTTTTGTTCTCAATGTTTTTTGCTCTGCAAAAGAAGAGAAGTTCCAATTCATCAGTGTTCACTTAACACTCAACTACTAAATTGACACTCAACTACTACTTTTCTCCTCTTTTACCTCTTTTAAATGAATGAGACTCCTCCTGATTGCTGTCTGCACTTTGTGTTTAGTGCTAATTAGAAATTGTTAACATGCTAAATTAAAATGGTGAACATGGTCAGCATTATACTTGTGAAACATTAGCCTCACTGTGAGCATGTTAGTATGCTGACATAAAGGGAAAGTTCATCACAAAATCAATAATTCATATTTTTTATCTTCCCTTTAGGGCTATCTATCCATCTAGACTGTTTTGCTGATACCTGCCTTGAATAACGGAACTAGATGGCACTAAACAAACAAAAAAAAATACATTTGAAAAACAACAGCAGTGTTCTCCCGAACAACACCTGCCAACCGTATCACCACGCATGAGTGGCATCTACTCATGGATGAGAGGATTTGAACATTAGCAAACTGTAACATTTGCTAGCTCACTGAGCTAGCTGTAACTAAGTTCAGCCTCACAGAGCTGCTAGCATGTTTTAACCATGACCACAATCTTTCTTTTAACCTTAATTTAGTAGTCTAGTTTAGCCATACAGGGAATAATTCATCTGGGGTTTTGCAGAACTGTCCAGTATCATTGTCCAGTATCTCCTCCGTCAGCGTATTGGCGACAGTGGGAGGCTGGCTGCTCTCTTGTCCTTTTATGGAAGGAGCTGGGTCAAATTATGAAAAACATTTAAGACTTTAGAA